AAACTATCTAAATCAACCTACATATACGTTTGCAGTTAAAATAGGAAGACTGGTCCAGTTTCATGAATTGTAATTTCATTTTAAAGTTTATTGCTTCCCCTGAAAAACTGACCTTGCGCCGCCACTGGAGCTGATGGATAGTGAGAGTGAGTGAAAAAGCTGAAAATGAAAATTGGTATAATAAAAACTTATAATAAGGGGAAAATTTCTAGTATTCGGGGTCATGATGAACACTCAATCAAACGAAAGTTTCATCAAACAGGTGAGTTCAAAGAAGTTTAACGTTGCGGTAGACTGTACAAGTGATCTCCGCGGATTGGGTTGCTTAATATCGGATGATCTCCTTACTGAAACCCGCAAGAGTTGTCAATATCAATTTTCATCTATTTGATTTTAAGTTTTTAACAAACTAATATTCGACACTAAAGAATGGTGTTTCAATGCGCAAGAATTCTATTGCAAGTATTGCAAAGTTGATGATTTTTCTGAAAAGATGAAGAAGGAACTTCTAACGTCAAAATTTTGTTTCTCTTTATACAATAAGAGGATCCAAATGTTCGACTCATGTTATAAAAACATTTTATGGTCAGAAAGCCGTTTAAACATACCAGTATTTTTTTTAAAAAGTGAAGACGAAGAAACAATAACTTGATAATATGAAGGAAGCCTTTCTACGGTGTTTTTATTAGTATGAAGTGTAAATTGCAAATGTTTACTTATCCAAAGTGAAAATGTAAAACTTAAGGCCATGTGTCCTTCCCCAAACACGCCCTCAAATTTGCCAGTTTGTAGAGAACACCTTTGGTGGTGTGCCTTTGCAATCAAAAGCTCGTTGGTCAAGTATTGACAGAGTTATTAATTAATTAAGTTCAAAATTAATTGAAATTTTTAGTTTGAGAGGCATCTTTTAAAACCTTTCTGGTTTTCGATATAAACGTTGCATTCGATTGATTGTAATGTAATTTTATAGAGACTTGTTTGTAGATATAATTCCATACAAACAAAGTTTAAAAACGATATCTCTGACCGTTTTTTATTTACTAATTAGTTGTGGTTAGTACTAATTAGTGATACTCCAGTGAACAAAGTAAATTTTCCTAACATCATAACAAATGGAAGCAAATCATGCAATATATTATTCGATAGAACTTTTCAAGCTCTATCGATTGCCCGAGCCACTTTTTGGTCTGAAAAAGCCGTTTTAAATCATTTTTGCTATTAGAAAACTCACAATTTCTTCGTTTATTAGTGAGAAGTTTTTAAATAACTTTTGATTGACAATAGGTAGAGAGTTGCAGTTTCCGTCATTCGACAGTCAAGACATCGCAGAATGTTTATTTGACAAACGGGCTTTTCAAAACTTATGTTAGGAATGTTAGGTTTTCGGTTCTCGTTAAGAACCGGAACCGCGGTTCGGTTCTCCAGGAGGAACTAGAACCGCGGTTCTCTTGTCTTCGGTCTTTCATCGGGAACCGGAATCGCGGTTTTGTAGATGGTTCCTTTTTTTTTGGAACCGAGACTTTTTTAACCATAGATACTACAGTTTTATTTTGAGAAAGCTATATTCAGCGTTCATAAGATACACATGTGCGCAACTTCTTTTCTATGAGATCTTTTATACCTGGCGAACCCATCGACTCTTCTTAGATAAGAGATAAAGCCAATATTATTACGTTGTTATACGAGCCATAACTACTGGTCATGAAACTGTTAAGATCAGACGATAGAAAAGTACAGCATTGAAAGAAAAAGAACGAGTGTGAACGGACGATCAAATTTGTATTTCCTTATGAGGTGCGAAATAATAATCCGTTCTTTTCTCTTCTGCTGTATCTTTTTGTCTTGCCTTTCTTTCAACAAAACGAAAACACACTATTGACAAAGCTGCAAAAAGATATATTTGCCTGCCATTATCTATTACGAGTTATATTAGATCTACACTATCCTCAATACAAAGCACCCCGATCAGGACCAAAACGGATGATGTTGGACGGTTAAAGTTGCCTAGAGTTTCGAGTGTACGATTTGTAAAACCATACCAGTCTATGTACAATTCCATGGAACGAGTATGTCATTCTTTTTAAAAAGATATGTCAAGGACAAATTTTTACCCGGTAGGTGAGCAGACCATGAAAATATGGTATACTTCAGTAGGAGCCAGCCAGGCCCTGAAGTCGGGAAAATATTTATTCCCGATCAATGAAACACCCCTATAGGCTAAAAATTTCAGAATATACTCAACTTTTGTAGGGCTACAAACTGGTGAAATCAGAATTAAATTAAAAAGAAAAATTGAGCACGCTAGGTCGGCGCTTTCGTGCAGTCACTCCTAGCAAAATGCATACGCTAGAAACCACAATCTGCTGTCTAATACATCCGAGTGTGGCCTACATTGTGATATAAAGCTTGAGCCATAAACATTCGCGCACAGAGAAAATCGGGTTAAAGAAGATTAAAAAATTATTCTAAATGGAATCACGGCTACAACAAAATCAAAATCCTCATACAAATGTAAATGTTGTTTAAGTCCACTCCAATAACTAGTACCCAGCTGCCTAAGCAGCACTCGCCTTTTGTGGATAACTATCAGGCGTTTTCGAAGCAATAACGGAGGCTTTTCGAACAATAGCCGGGGCTTTTGCAGGAATAATCGGGGTTTTCGGAGCAATAACTGAGGTTTTCGGAGCAATAAGCGGGGTTTTCGGAGCGGTGATCGGCGTTATTGGAGGAATACCACGTACTTGGCCACAATTCGCACCTAAACAAAGCACAAGACTTATACAAATCATTCAATTTCAAATGAAATTCTTGACAAACACTAACCAGTCGCTATTACACCACACGCTTTTCGATTGCACTTCGGATCACTCGTCTGCGTTTCCTGATTCTCATAATACGTATCACAAAACCCTTCCACACCACAGTCCGTGTCGTTATAGCAAAATATATTATCATGACACTTATGAGTATACGTCCAGTATCTGACACCATTAACAGACTTATCACAATAGACATATCGATTCTGATCCACACCTACACAAGGTGAAACTGGGCGATTCGAACCGCCACCGCATGGATCGAGCTTTATTCTATCATCATTCCCACACTTCCCATCAGCTCAAACGACAAAAAAACAATTAACATGAAAACAGAACAATCCCAGAACCACCGACTTCTACATACGTCTCGAACAATTGATCCCAGTATATCCCAACGCACACCCTACAGAGCACCTTGAATCGGAACACACAGCAGTCTCATGAACTCCGCATGGGCACGGATTATTACATTTACCACAGTTAGATGCGTCCGTCTTTGAATTTACTTCGCAACCATCTGTGGCATTACCATTACAGTCCAGATAACCGTCACTGCATATTATTGAACACTTTCCATTAGAACAAACAGCCGTCGAATAAGGTCCATGTGGGCATATATTACCACATTTACCACAGTTTGATGTGTCTGTATTTGGATTTACTTCACAACCATCTGTGGGTGTTTTGTCACAATCAAGATAGCCGCCTGTGCATGTTATTGAACAGTTTCCATTAGAACAAACA